GAGGCGTCTCGGGCGTTAGACTGGGGGTGTGTGACTCCTCCGAGGGCGCTTAAAGCAAGCTGAAAGGGAGGCAGCCTGGCTTAGCAGTTACCAGGATGGACTTGGGGTCGAATTCCAGTCCTACCACTCATTGGCTGTGTTAGTCACTTCACTCCTCTGAGACGGTAAAGTGGGGCTAGTCACACTCTACCTGGAGGAGCTGGCTGTTGTGGGGATTAAGATTCATGTCTGGGAAGCCCTGAACACAGGGTTTAGGACCTACAGAGTCTGATTAATGGAGGCCTCCTTGTCATTATTATGACAAGCTTATCTCTTGAGGTCCACCTACCTAGACCAGCCCCAGCCTCCTTTTCCATTTGTTCCTCCCCATCTCCAAGCTTCTCTAATAGCTATCATAGTGGGAGAGGTGGCCTAGGGCTTGGGGAGAAGGGGTGGGTGGGAAAAGATTAGATAGCATCAGGGGGAGGAGAAATTACAGCCAAAAACGGAGGCCCCATCCTTGACAGAGTGGAAGGAGGGCTCCTTGACCTTCTCCTCAGACCCCAGATCCTCTCCTTAACCCCTCAAATTTCCCTTGAGACTCTCTTCTCTTTCCTGCCACCACATATCTAGCTTTCTAGCAAGTGGCTGCAAGAAGACAGAGGGGATTGGGGTAGAGGCCTCTGAATATAGAGACCATCCCGACTCCCTCTCACCCCCATGCCTGTCCTCACTGCCTGAGCTCTAGCTACCAACCTCTGCCTACAGCAGCCAAGGGCTTCCCTGGCAAAGATGGCTCTGTCTGGGCAAAACCCAGAGAAATGGCATCCCAGAGTGGGCGGGGAGGATCCTGGCTGGAGAGAGCCGGAGAGGGCCAGGGTGGAGGACCTGGGCCTCCCAGTAGGCCCCAGCATTCCCCAGCCCTCTCGTGTACCCTGGAAAGGATCCGTTCCCTTCGGGAGAAAACAGCAGACAGGTCTGAGCTGGCCTGCTCCTCAGAAGACAGAAGAACAGGCTGGGGGAGGGGGCCTGAGATCTTAGTGGAGTGGTGGCTGTAACCCCCATGGCTCCTCTGGGGAGCCAGGAGCAGAGGGAGTATGGCCCAGGCACACCCTACCATAGCCTGGGGCTCAGCCCTTTGCCCCCCTTGGCCAGTCTTCTGTCACTTGGAGAGCCAGGTGTCTGGGCCCCTACGGGGGAAGACGGTGCCTGCTCACCCCTTCCCGAAGAGCCAACATCGGTTCTTCACTTCCCCTCCCCTGGGCTGGGCAGGTTCGGGCTAATCTTCGCAAGAGCTTCACAGCAAACATTGATCTGTAATAAAACCACAACGTGTGTTCAGGAGAAGGGATTCCAGACACACAGAGATCCAGACAACACACAGACACGCTCACACACACAGACACACACACAGCTCTGGGAGGCAGACGCCAGCGGTCCTGAAAACACAGCTAGGCATGGACTCACACTGAGTCGAAGGCACATCCCCTCCCTACCATAAACGTTGTCCTTCAAAACCCAAGCCTGCTCTGACAGCCTATTTCCCTGTGTTATCGTAGCACTTTGTACATAGCTCTGTAATAGACTTGCACTTGGCATTATAATTATTTGTTAGCCAGTTTGTCTTCTCCAGTAATCTGAAGGTTTTCTAAGGGAAGAAATCTTGTCTTGTGCAAGTGTTTTCCTCAGCATCTAAGCATGCAGCTTGGTATTTAGTCAGTAGGAGTAGGGGAGGTGCTTAATGAATAATTGCTGAATTGATGAACAGAGGAATAAATGCATCCAGACGATGGTATCCCCCCCCCCAACCCCTCAGAAGCACAGAGGATACCAAGTGCATGCTACTCAGGCCCCTGGCCCCACCTTCTTGTCTCTTAGTCCCCTGATCTTACTGCCCCTCTGCTTCCTCAAACGCCCCTTCTTTCTCCCTCTTCATTCAATGCAAGACCATGAATTTGAGTTCGGCCGAGGGCTGGCAGGCGAGGTAAGGGTTAATGACACCTCATTAGGGTTTAATTGGAGGAAGGAAGCTGCCCTGGCACCAGACCGGTGGGCAGGCCTGCCCCTGGCTGGAAGCAGGCGTCCCCTGTTCCAGCGCCCTGCCAGGTGTGTGCATTATTTGGCCCTGGAGATCCTCAACCCAGTCGGGGGCACCTCCCCCCACCATTTGCTTTGCCAATTTAGTCTCTAGGCAGTACAGACCAGTCCTCCCCATCTGTCACCAGACATTCAGAGGGGGAGTCAGGCTTCTTGTCCTTTCTCCCTAGGCTGTGCCCCCTCCCACTTCAGGAGACGCCGGAGGCTGGGAAGAGGGGTCGGGTAAGGAACTGGACAACTGAGAGAGAACACGAAGGGGTGGATTTGGGATACAGACAGCGACAGAGAAATACAGCCGCGGGGCTCAGAACTCGGAGATGTCTGCCCAATTTGACCTTAAATGAAGAGAATGCAAATGAGATGCAGACGATATGCAGATGAACACGAGGATCTCAGAATTAACATTCCCAGTGGCAGCAGCTCTGCACCCAGGACCCCAGCGCTGTTGCCAGTACCCTCTCCTAATCTCCCTGGCTGAAGGGGCACTGACCATCACTTTGAGTGAGAAAAAGGACCTCCAGGAAGATGAGAGCTTGGTTGGGCTAGAGCCGCAGGACCCGGGAAGCTGGGCTCCACCCCTGTCTCCCCGCCCCCAACCCGAGCACCACCAAGATGCCAATGGAACTCCAGCACTAACCACTCTCCAGGTAGTGCTCGGACGCCCCGTCGGTTGCTATGGGGACCCCTCCCACGTCCAGGCCTGAACCAATGGGCGTCACTGCTGATGACCTCATGCCCCAGGCCCCCGAATTCTATTGGTTATTTGGAAGCCATAGTGCCCCTCTCCAGTTGCGTCAGGGCTGGGGGATCCCCCATGACTGGTGTGGCCTACAGAAAGAAGGGCGTGCTGGGAGCTCACAATTTGCCGAATGAATGAAAAACGGGGGAAAAAGGGATGGGTCACAAAAAGGCCTGTAAGGGTTTTGCCTGAAGGGAGATTTGCCCCCCCCCCCCCCGTAAAGAATGGAGCGGATCCGGTCGCAGAGACTCGGCTTCCAGGCTATTCCGGGCAGAGAGAGTGAGCAATGAGTGGAGTTTTCGCATGTTTGGGAGAGAGTAGGGCAGGCCCAGCAAATTGAGGGCCTCACCCTCTGCCGTCTAGCGCCGCTGAGTTTAGGGGAGATCGGTGACGCCCCAAAACTTGCAGAGCTGCCCAAGCCTCCTGGAACCGCGCCCGGAACACGCCTGGAGGACTTCTCATGGGGAGGGCGGGAGGGCTGTACCGGAAGACCGCCCGCGCCTTCAGCCCTGCTCGGCCCGGGAGCGGACTTAGCTCTCGCTTTCCATGGGGACTGGCCCCGGGACTGAATCCGGGCCGGCTGGGCGGACAGTGAGCGGCGGGAGGCTGGCTTGGCTGGAGGCCTGCGGCCGACGGGCCTGAGTTTGCGACTCCGCCCCCCGCACCCCCCACAAGTGCACAGCTGCCGAGGTGTCGCCCTCGCACCTGCAGGGCGTTGGGCGGCCGGCGAGGGCGTGTGTCTGTGTCAAGTGTGAGAGGGAGGGCGGGGAGGAGGGAGGTCAGAGCCGGCTGGGCCGGGGTCTCTCTCGCACCTGCGTCCTTATCGCGAGCCAGCGCGCCCGGCTCGGTCTGCTAAGAGGGGGTGTCCCTCGGTCTGCTAAGAGGGGGTGTCCCTTGGTCTGCTAAGAGGGGGTGTCCGGGACAGTTGGCAGCTGAGCGAGACCCCTCAGTTCTCAGGGCAGGGCAGGGGCTACTAACCAGTTGCCCCGCCTGCCCCACCCATGGTTTCCCTGGAGAGGGTGGAGGTAGTACAGTCGGATGACGTGGCGACATATAGACATACATTCTGGATGACAGTAGACGGAACTCGAACCCAGAATCACAAGACAGCCTTCAGCCCAGATTGCACGTCTGCAGCCCTCCCACCCGCCCCCCTCCCCGCTAAAGATGGTTTGAGATGAGGCCCTGACACTGCCTACCCAGGCACTCGCACCCACAGACAAGCATTTTCTGAAAGGGGCCTCCAATGGGGGAAGGGGTCGACTGGCGTCTGCTCCCGGCGCTGCCCTCCTCCCTCCCAGGCCTCAGCCAGAGCAATGGAATGAACCGAGAGGGACCGGGTCTGACCTAGGTACTCAGGGGGGTGGGGGAGGGATTCGCAATCCCCAGCATTTCAATCTGTCAGTCTCTGGCCCCCCAGCATCCCCACCCCACCCCACCCCACCCCCCCCTGGTGTTCACACTCTGCCTCTCGCTGCCGCAGCCGCGGAGCTAATGAGCACAACATCCACCTATCGATCCGGGCTCAGTGCCAGGCGGGCCGGGGAGGCTGTGGGGCAGGGGGCGGTAGAACACAGCTTGGGGGGGGGGTCCTTTCCCCTGGCGCCACCCAGGACATCATTCAGAAAGAGCGCCCCGATGGGTTTGGGGGGACCACAGCCTTGTCTGCAGAGGCAGGAGAGTGTGGGGCTGAGAGCAAAGGGGGCCCTCCCTCCTTGGCCCACCCCCTCCCTCCTTATAAAAGCGAAGAACAAAGAGGCCGCTGGGGATGGAGGCTTTGATCCGACCCCACCTTCCCAGTTCTAGGCCAGGCACCGCCCAGGCTGCCCTTGGGAGGGAGAGAGACGCTCAGCTCTCAGGGACCCAAGCGCTGAAACCCACGGTGCCGGTGCCTCTTCCTGTGGCACGGCCTGGTGCTGCCGCAGTTTGGGCAGTGCCCCAAGTGGGTGGGCTGTCGGGAGCATCCACCCTCTCCTCAGCACAGGAAGCCGGCTCAGGGGGGTGGGCGAGGGTGCCAAGCTCCACAGCTGCTGCTGGCGCCCACTCCACACTGCCCAGAGGGGTGCCCACCGAGGCCTGGCATGGATGGCCTGGGCACAGCTGGCAGGGAGGTCAGGCCAAGCCACGCTGAGAGCAGAGGCCGCAGGGAGTCCTGGTGTCAAGGAAGGGGCCAGGGGGCAGAAGGTTGAGGGGAGCAACAAAAAAGATGGGTGGTTTATTGAGGGTTTGGTCCAGAAACTTATAAAAATACAAACTGGTACGAAATTCAGCCTCGTGGCAAGTCTGTCTTCACGGAAGACGAGTGAGTGGCCCCCTGGAAGGGAAAGGCGCTGCCCTCGGGCAGGGTCCACAGGGCACTGGGCACAGATGGCAGGTCTGGGCGGCTTCCTTGCCCTGGTCCTTCAGTCCGCCTGCCCCAGCTCTTCGTCTTGGCCCCCAGCAGGCCCAAGGCTTCAATCCACCAAATTCCAGTCTTCCTGGGAGATGAAAAGGCCCTCAAAGCAGCTGAGGAGACCTGGGCTTAGCTGGCCTTGGCTCCAGATGCCCAAGGCGGCCGGCAGCTCCCCCGTGGCTCCTCTTCAGCCTGGGACGAGGGGGCCAGCACCTCAGGGGTCACCTCGGACCCTCTGGCTTCCCTCCTCACGCCTCCACCTTGTCTGTCGGGCGTGGCGTTCCTAGCGCAGGCGGCAGGGGCTCCTCCTCCAGGGCGTCTTGGGGGGGCTCTGGCTCCTGGGGTGGCAGGAAGGGTCCACTTGGCTCAGAGAACTCGCAGGAGACGAAGGATTGGGAGCAGCAGCAGCGGCAAGAGGCATAGGGGGCTGGGCGTGCCCCCGCCTTGCCACCCCGATGTGCCACTCTCTCCAGGGCTCCCAACAGGATGCGCTGACTCAGGCTCTGTGAGGGGGAGGGTAGCACCGATGTGTCCTCCATTCCAGCAGCCTCCTTTCACTCTCCCCGTTAGCTGTTCGCTCCCATCCTGTTCTCCAGGACCTTTCCAATCAGCCACTCCCTCCCCATAATGGACCACCTTGTCCTCCCTAAAACCCAGCTTCCGAGTCTCCCCCAAATTGCCAGTGCAGACCACCAGCTCAGCTAAAGCTTTCGAAGGCCTGGCCCCCGGAGATGTGATTTCTGCTGGCCCAGCACACAGACTGCAGTGGGAGCTCCCACAGGCTGTGCAGGGGAGCGGGGCCAGAGCTTACAGCCCTCCCTGAACCCCTCGAAGTCTCCCAGGCTCGCCCCATGCCTTCCCTCCTTCCCAAGAAGGGCCCCTGCCGCCGGAGGGCTGCTCCCCGTGCCGCAACCCACTTACTGCTCTCCTTGCAGCAGACAGACACCTGGAGCCTCAAACACTGGCCAGAACTCCCGGGCGTCGGCACCGCTGGTTGGTGGGAGGAAAAAGTTAGCACAGGCTGGTTTGCAGACCCTTTCAGACCCTCCCAAGTTCTCTTCTCTGCAGTTCCTGGAAAACGTTCCCTTCCCTTTGGGCTCCATCCAGGTGCCAGGCCCCATTCATGGCTGCTCCTCGTCCCCTCAGCCCCTTTCCTAGCTCTTCCTCCTCCTCCTCCTCCTCCTCTCTATAGACTCACTCTAGATGCCCCCTCAGTCCTGGACTCAGGGCCCCTCCAGCCCCCGTCTCTGACCACAGCCCCTCCTGCCTCCCCTGTCCCAGGTCTGGTCTTCATTCCCAGCCCCATCCCTCCTCCACACCTTAGGCTCTCTGCCTTGACTGGTGGCAGTCAGGTACCCCTTCCACCTCCCCCAAGAGGCGCCAGTGTGCCCTTCCTCACTCACAGATGTAGTAGTAGGTCTCTCCAGGCAAAAATTCGAAGCCAAGGGAGAAGGGTGTGAAGCGCTGAATCTTCTCCGAGAATTTAACAGGGCCAAAGGGAGCGAAGGGGAGGGAGCACTCCCAGCGCTTGAAGGCGCCTGGCCCTTGTGCCTGGCAGGCCTCATAGCCCGACCAGTCCACCATGTACAAAGCAAACGTCTCAGGGCCCTCGGGGGGCCCCGGGCCCTCATAGTGCGGGCAGAAGATGTCCAGGTAGTCGTTGAGGCCCAGCTCCACCACAGCGTCTCCTCGAAGCAGCCTGCAGACACAAGGTAGGCGTGGGCTGAGGGGGGCCATGGTGGGGCACAGGGGTCAGGGATATCCTTTCCAAGGGTCTGTGCCAGCCTCTGCCCTGCCGCCTGGAGAGGCCGGAGTTCTCCAGACTGACAACTTCTGAGGGACAAAGAGAGTGCGAGCAATAGATGAGCAACAGGCTCCCAGGTGCAGAGGTTAAGGACTGCAGTGCTCACAACCATGCGGCTCCAACGTGAGAAGGTCTCTCACAACACCCTGCCTTTGGTGTTGGAGCCGCCACCATCTCTCCAGCCCGGTGCCCAGCCAGGGCCTGGCCCAGCACCTGTGCCTCATAACTGTTAGCTGGACGGCTGCTGCGAAGGAGCTGGAACAGAGGCAAGGGGTAGAGATCGGGCCCACAGGGCAGCCACAGGGAGGGAGACTGGGGGCAGTATCCCCTTTAAAAGATGCACAGCCAGGGAGACTGTCCTTGAGCTCTCAACCCAATGCCGAGAAGAATGCCAATGGGGGAGTGGATGGTGGGTGCCTCCCTCTTTTTTTTTTTTTGCCAGGACAAGGAGGTGCCAGACATGGAGGGGACCCCCCAGCACATATCACCCAATCTTCAGCCTCCTCAGGACTCCCTTCCCCACCTCTTGGGAGCTGCCTGGGGGAGCCAGTGCAGGTGGGAAGGACTGGGACATACCCCCCCCCCCACAGCATCCAATACAGCACGAACCACGCCCCCTCCCGACCCCGCTGACACACAACCCAGCCTGGTGTAGGAAAGGCCTCCAGCTGCCCCTCAGTGGGTGGTCCAAGCACCTCCAGGACCAGGAGTTCTGACTAGAAATGCAGGTTCCTGGGCCCGGCGCAGACCCACTGGAGCACACGTCAGGCCTGTGTGTGTTTCCTTTCACCGGGTCCTGAGTGCCTGGAGAAGTGTCCTGCACAAGGACGGCGCTCGGTAGATATTTGTGAACTGAGTGAAGGAGCCAGAAACCTCAGCGTTGGGGGCTCGGACCCTGGATTTTTAACAAGTCCTCTAAGCGGCTCAGAGGCACTGGTCTGGAACCAGAGAGAGGAATTCCGAGTTGGAAGACAACAATAGCGCTTATCATATGGTACTGGCATTAGAATGACCTGTCGTGGCGCCTGCCCTCCCCAGGGGGTCTCTGGGCTCTGGGAGGGCAGAGTCTCGGTCTTC